CATTCCTGAAGGCATTGGTGAAGACTGCAAGCTGGAGGAGATGTTTCACAAGGCATTAGAGTTGCTACCTGCTCTGTGGACAAAGGCAGGCTTACTCGACCAAGCTATTGCTTCATATCGTAGGGTTCTCATCAGGCCATGGAATTTGAACCCACAGAAGTTGGCTGCAGTGCAAAAGGAATTAGCTTCTATGTTACTTTATAGTTCTGTTGAAGCAACACTTCCCCCTCAGTTACAGCTATTGGGTTTTGCTAGCCCCCAGAGTAACATAGAGGAAGCAATTCTCTTGTTATTAGTACTCAGGAGTAAGGTGGCTTGTGGGGAAATAAAGTGGGATGAAGAAATCATGGACCATCTGACTTATGCACTCTCAATTGTGGGGCAATTTGAGTTATTAGCTGAGCATGTGGAGCAGGCCCTTCCAGGTATCTATAACCGAGCTGCGAGATGGTACCTTCTTGCTCTTTGTTACAGTGCTGCGGGTCAGAACGAAGCAGCTCTGAACCTGCTAAAGAAAGTTTCTGGTTGTTCAGAATCAAAGAACAAACCACATATCCCTTCCTTTTTGTTGGGAGCGAAGTTGTGTTCCCAAGACTCAATGCATGCCCATGAAGGCATAAATTTTGCTCGTAAGGTTCTTGACTTGGCTGATCATCAAAATCAACATTTCATTGGTCAGGCGCACAAGTTCCTTGGTGTTTGCCATGGGAATGCCGCAAGAATTTCCTTGTCTGATTCTGAAAGAGTTCTTTTACATAAAGAGTCTTTGAACTCTCTAAATAATGCAGCATTAAATAGGAAGGAGGATCCAGAAGTGATGTACAGCCTTGGGCTGGAAAACATGCTGCAGAGGAACCTGGGGGCTGCCTTTGAAAATGCAATTGTGTGCACTGAAATGATGGCTGGAAACTCAGTAAAAGGTTGGAAGTTACTGGCCCTTGTAGTTTCCGCGGAGCAACGGTTCAGAGATGCTCAAACAGTTGTGGAGATTGCTTTGGATGAGGCTGGGAGGATAGATCAATTTGAACTTCTTAGGTTGAAGGCTATACTACAAATTGCTCAGGAACAGCCCAAGCAAGCAATAGAAACATATAGAATATTGCTGTCTCTTATTCAAGCACAGCGGGATAGCCAAGCCAAGAGCCCTGAACAAGCGCATATCTTTAATTCTGAGGTATGTCTTCTTATATGCTCTGTCATCTCTCATCTCTCATCTCTCATCCATAGTCATGAGCCAGGTTTAAGATTTAAGGTCGGATGAATTTAAGGAATATAAATGTCTCAAATTTAGCAGTAGTATACCAAGTTTTGGATATGCATAGATAATGTTAGTTTGTGCCGTATGTCAACTTTGAAGATTTATCTCAAATCATCCTGACATCAATTTCACTAGCTTTGTTGATGCTACAATTTTAGGTAACCAACAACTCTGGAGGAAAAATGTGCTGAATGTTGCCCTCATTTGCAGGTACTCGCAGAAAGAAACTTGGAACTGGCAGCATGGCAAGATTTGGCAGACATTTACACAAAAATTGGCTCATGGAGTGATGCTAAAATTTGTGTGGACAAAGCCAAGTTAATGGAGTTTCACTCTCCTAGAAGTTGGCACGTGACAGGTTCGTTACTGTCTCTGTAACTTAGGCACGTCAAGCACAACTTTCTATAGACGTCTGTCTACACAAAGAATGTCCCTAAACATTGTAGCTTTAAAAAAATCGATTTCTCATGATTTTGCAGGAATGTTATTTGAAGCTCAATCACTGCACAAAGAAGCCCTTGTTTCCTTCTCGATTGCATTGTCAGTGGAACCGGATTATGTTCCAAGCATTGTTGCTACTGCAGGAGTCTTGATGAAGCTTGGTGCTCTGTCATTTTCCATTGCCAGAAGCTTTTTAATGCATGCGTTGAGATTGGACCCCACAAATCATGAAGCATGGTTAAATCTTGGGTTGATTTCAAAAATGGAAGGCTCTTTAAAACAAGCGGCAGATTTTTTTCAAGCTGCACATGAACTCAAGCTGTCAGCTCCCATTCAAAGCTTTCTGTGATGTCTATTTCAATTATTTTATGCAGCATATCTGGACAAGGGCACACTGGCCTAACGACTCAATGCCCAGCGCATATTCCACTCTAGTTTAGTTATCAACCCATTTGATTAAATTGTATAGCAATCCTGCTGGACCCTCGAGCTACTTTGTTTACAGCAAAGTTTATCTAATAATGATTTCCAGCGGTTCA